ACTAAGAAAGAAAAACAGAGGTTTACAGTACTTTCCAAATATATGTTACATTATTGACTGCATTTCCTCTCACAAGGAGTTGATGTAAAAGTCCTGATGAGCTAATTGTGCTTTAAATTTGATTTGAGGATTTTAGGTTTTGCAAGAGTACTAGAAGCATTCCAAAGTATTTTTTCCCTTCATATTGTAATAATTTTTCACATATCATTACACTTAAAGCTGTTATTTATTTTCATAGTCCTAAATCTCCAAAGTGGATGGCAAGACTTCTTTTCAGAAATGATGTTGAAAAATTTGTGTAAGTTATTTGGCCTTGTAGGATTGCACAAAAATATGGGAAATAGCTTTATTTCAGCATGTAAAATGATTAGCTAGTGAAAAGAATGAATGGTGGTTTGTACATGTAAATCAAGAGCCGTATTACAAATGTAGCACAAACATTGTTCTCTTCCTTGCAATTTAGGCCAGAGATTAATTTCTGCAAGATCTGTGTGAGAGAAGGGCAGTGTTACTAACTGATTAATTTTAATTGTGAAACAATTTTTGCTCTCTTCGTAGGAAAGAAAACTGCTAGTTTGTGATTTTTTGTTCTTAAAAAAAAGGTCAACATAGTCTTTGCAACAATAATTAAAAATAACCTACTGTCATGAACCAAACATGGCTTTCTAAAGCCTGTAGCCTGGTTTGCTTGCAGGAATAGTTTACTGATTTTTTGTGGAGTAATTCAACAATGAAATTATCTTGAAATTTAAAACCAATATCAAGTAACAGATGATCCAGTTTACTTAACACGAGCTTATTGCCACATTTTGCTATTAATTCATGCAGTGAAAATCTCAAGTAAAAATTTGTTTTCAAATTTCATGGTGTTCTACAAGACAGTGTTTGTAGGAGTATTGCTAAGAGGATTCAGTTCCCTGAATCCTATGCAAATACTATAGTAACATTTTGAAGGAACTGTTGTAGGAAAATATATTTTCTTGCCAATCTTTTCTTCACAGATATGCAGGTACTTATTTTTATTATATATCTTGGGTTTTTTTCTATTGAACTTGCATATGGGAAAAATTAGATGATTTATATAATCTGTACATGAAATGACAGAACGTTTTACATTTAACTGCCGAGTTTACAGAGGGATTTATCCATGCAGCATCATTCCTGTCTACTAAAGTACATAATTAGAACTGATGCTTCTGCTTCTTTTCCATTTCTTTTTTCTTCCCTATTCCCTTAATACTTTTATTAACTTTATCAATTTTAATTCTTTTTCCTCTAAGTAAAAACTACTTGTGTACAATCATCTGCTTTTTTAATATGAGAATTTGTACACAATTCCTTTCTAATCACTATAAGAGACTTTATTTTTGCATAATTGTAGTATTTTTTCTGCTTTTGATGTTTATTTCAATAATAGAAATATGAGTTTACTATGTTGTAGAAATAATAAAAAGAACCAATGCTAATTACTGCAGTCTCTAATCTTTCTGCTTTAGACTTTAAAAAAACCTCACCATATACCTATGTGAAGCCTTTCTATTTTCCCAGAGTCTCTGAAAACCTCTGCAAGACCTATCCATGCAGACCAATTTTTTTTCCCAATTTTCTTTCTAAATATTTGAGCACAAGTCCTATGAGGAGAGGCTGAGGGAGCTGGGGTTGTTTAGTCTGGAGAAGAGAAGGCTTAGAGGTGACCTCATCAGTCTCTTCAACTACCTGAAGGGAGGTTATAGCCAGGTGGAGGTTGGGCTCTTCTCCCAGGCAACCAACAATAGGACAAGGGGACATGAGCTCAAGCTCTGCCAGGGGAGGTTTAGGTTAGATGTTAGGAAGAAATTCTTTACAGAGAGGGTAATCAGGCATTGGAACGGCCTACCCAGAGAAGTGGTGGATTCAGCATCCCTGGAGGTTTTTAAGCAGAGATTGGATGTGGCCCTTAGTGCCATGATATAGTAATTGGAGTTGGATCAGGGGTTGGATTTGATGATCTCGGAGATCTTTTCCAACCCAATCTATTCTATGATTCTATGATTCTATGATTCTATTTATTGCAGACCCATTTTTTTCCCGTCCTGTTAGTAATTTCCTAATTGTAATACAAGAGGAGATTATTTGTGAGTAGGAAATTTTTTTCTGGTCTGAGATGGAGTCACTGACTGGCATTGGCCATGTTATTTTCCTGATATTTATGAGGTAATCGTGTCAGCAGAA